TTTTTTCTTTAGTTTTTCCAATACGATTAACAATGATAGCTGATTTTCTAACATTTCTAACGTATTTGGCTTCGTTATCATTATGATATAATACTGCACCAGCTTCCATACCAGGTGTTTTTTTTAAATTGGCCCATGGTGTGTAAACGATATCTACAGCTGGTTCTTTACAACCTTGAATTGAGTTATTTTTAACTAATTGACAACATTCTTCTAAAACATTAGCTGGAATATCATTAATAGTTTGTCCTTTCTTTAATCTTAAATAAACATGAGCTGATGATAAATCATGAACATGGAACCAAATCTAAAAAATTTTAAAAAAAAAAAAAAATTAATTTTTTTGTTTTTTTTTAGAATTTTGAATTATAAATAAAACTAAAACTAAAACTAAAACCTACATCCTCTGGCCATCCATATTTAATTAAATCTTCATTTTCATATTTATCAATACCCATATAAACAATATATTCTGGATCTAAAATTTTATAAACATGTTAGTAATTTATAAAAAATTTTTTGAATCGGTTTCTTTTTATCGTTTTTATTTTTATTTATTAATTTATTACATAATATAGTTATTGTAATTATTATAGTACAACTTATTATTGTTGATATTATTTATATTATTGTTTTTATTTAATCTATTATAAGTTTTTTGAATGACATACCAATAATTTTATAAAATAATACCATTTTTTTTTTATTAAATTTATTGAATAATTAAATGTTAAGGTGGTTTTGAATAAAAGTTTACTAATATGTTGAATTTACAAGAGTAAATTTTTGTTGTTATATAAACACTAACTCTTTTTAAAATGAGTTGGTCTGTTTTGATTTAAGTTTGAAAAAAATAGAAAATAGGAAAAAAAAAAAATAAAAAGCATGAAATAAAAAAAATAAAAAAAATAAAAAAAAAATAAAAAAAATAAAAAAAAAAAATATTTTTAAAAAAAAAATTAAGAGTAATTTATAAAAAAAAGATTAACTTTAATTTTAAATTAAAATTAAATTATTATAAAGATTCGATCGGATTTTTTTAGAAATTTTTTATTTTTTTTTACTTAAAAATCTTTTTTCATTGAATAGATATAGTGATAACTTTTTTTGGATGGGATTTTTTTTGCTTTGGTTTCATCATCGTTATCTGATGAAATATTTTCTTCAAATTTTTCTATTTTTTCTGTTGTGATCTAAAAAAAAGATTATTAATATATATGATTATTGATTTATTGATTATTAAATTCAACTTACCTCCCAATCACAAGCTTGTTCAAAATAAAATACTCTATCATTTGGCATGCCATATGTGATGCATATATAAACACCTTTTTTATTTAATACTCTAAAAATTTCCTCGCACATTATAATTGCTTTGCTACAATCTCCACACTAGATATAGATTAAATATGATTGTTAGTATATCCGATAGAGTTTATAAATGGTTTAGATTTGATTGATATACTTGCCATTATCGTGTCAAAAGTGCCTTTGTCAATAACAACATCAAATTCTTCATCGGCTAAGCTTAAATCTAAAACATCATCTACCTGATAAACCATTCCTGGGTATTGTGATTCTTTATATTTTTCTTTACATTGCCCAATTACAACCGATGATATATCAATATTGGTTAAGTTTTTATAGCCATCATTATACATTTCTTCTGATAATGCTGTATTATGTTTTAAAAAATAAAAAACAACATAATGGTTAATAAACTATTTCTCTTTAATAAAATTTAAAAATATTTCTAAATATTACTTACTTGAATTACCACAACCTACCATTAAAATTTTAGCATCTTTGCTTTTAATCTTTTCAATTAAAAATGGTTTTAATGTTGAATATTTTTGATACCAATCAAATGTTTCTGGGTCTCTAAAGTGGTGGAAATTTAAATTAATTGGGGAATTATTTCATTTTTAAAAAAAAAAAAAAAAAAAAAAAATAATAAAAAATTAATAATGTTAATAAAAACTATTTAATACTATACTATGTTTTTTTTTGAATGAATAAATTATTTCTTTATATTTCTTGTTGGTTTTTTCTATTATTTTCTGCTTAAAAAAAAAGATACTACTTTTTATATCTTCTATCCCAATATACAGGTTTACCATATTCAGTAGTCATTTTAGTGTTTGAATTTGTTTTTAGTACAAAAAGTATTATAATAGTTATAGTTTTATTAATTGATGTGTGATGTAAATAAAATAAAAAAAAAAAATTAATAAAAAAATAAATTTTTTTTAAATTTCGGTGGAATAAATTTTTTTTATTTTTTTTATTTTTTTTTTTTTCCTTTCATATAAAAATTTGACATTCTTTTGGATATAACTGATTCTATTTCTTAAATATTTTATAAAATGTTTAAAATAAATAAAAATTTATAATTTTTTCCCCACTTTTTTTTATTTAAATAAATTCAAACTCTAGATCAGTTAAAATTCCTGATCGAATGAAATCAAATAAAAACTTAAAATAGATTGCATTTGCATTCATCAAATTCAATTTCATATAACAAATAAAAACTAACCTTCTTCCAAAAAAGTGGCTATCTTTTATTTATTAACCAAAAGTTAATAAATAAAATATTTTTCAATGCAATATTTTATTGTATTACGCGGTTCAAAACATGCAATTTTAAAAAATATTTTGCCACATAAAATTGATCTCCATAATAGTTTTTATTTTTTTTGTAATTTTAGCAAAAATAAAAATAAAAAAAAAAAAAAAATAAATATTTTGGATACCAAGCAAACCATCTATTTATAGAGCAGATAGCGAATAAATTATAATAATTTATATGTTGATTTTAAAAAGGTTTGTGACCAATATTTAAAATTTTTTTTTTTTTTTGGGTCAGCTGGGAAAAATAAAATTTTTTTTTGTAACCTAAAAATTTAATAAATGAGAAACATGAACATAATAAACTATAAATGGGGCATATATTGGTTGAATAATAATAATAATAATAATAATAATAATAATAATAATAATAATAATAATAATAGCAATAATAATGATTATAATTGGTTTAAATTATTAATAAAAATGAGCATAAATATTTAAATATTTATATATATAAATGTAATGTATATTTAAGGATATATGTTAAAAATAAATAGTAAACAAATAGTTATCAACACAATTTTTTATTTAATATTTATAAAATATATATTTGTTTATATATTTATTATGTTTGTATTGTTTGAGAATTTGAAAAAATAAAAAAAAATTTTCAAATTATAAAAAAACTTAAATATTTAAAAAAAAAACTTGAATTTTTTGGTATAAAATTTTTTTTTTTTTTTATATTATTTTTTTTGATGATCCAGGTTTTTTATTTTTCCGGTTTTATTTTTCATATAAAATTGATTGTTGTTCAAGAAACGATTTGTTTTATATTGCAAATATTGAAAAAATTCAGAAATAAAGTATTTTAAAAAAATTTTCCTGGAGATATGTATTTTTATTTTCAGAACGCTTCGTTTTTGAAAAAAAAAACTTTTTTTTCCTCAAAATAAAAAGAAATTTTTTTTTTAAAATCATTTATAAATTTTTAAATTACACAATACAAGTGAATAAATAAATAAACAAATAAACAAATAAAATGGGTAGAATTGGTAACATTGTAAATAATCTTTTCTGGGCTTATTATGCCCACCAACAAAATAAAAGTAGAATGGAAGCCGAAGGTCCATACAAAGAAGTTAGAGGACAAAAATATGCTGAAGATTGGAACCAATTATTTATTTTTGCAAATGAAAATAAATTAGTAAATATTATTTTTATATCTTTATTTCTTTTATATATTTTTTTTATTTTTAATAAATAGCTAATATTAATTTTAATATTATAGGAAGAACTTAAAAATCTTTTCCCATCAGCTCCATCATTTGTTACTGCTAAAGATTCAAATGGTTTTGATCTTTTACAAGTTGCAATTTCAAACAATTCAATAGATGTTGCTAAATATTTAATCAGTGAAGAATCTTCACACTTTGATTTTAACCATCAAAGTAAGTATAAGTTCTAAATTACATATTGCTATCATGACTATGGGCATTGGTATAAAATATAGAATAAAATTTATAAATAATAACAAAAATTAATATTTTTTAATATATTTTAAAAATTAGATAATAGAGGTGTTAATATTTTACACATTATTTCAATTAATGGAGATTTAGAAATTCTTGATTGTTTAATTAAAAACAATAAAGTTCCAAATTGTGATTTAGTTACTTCAGAAATGGAAAGCGCTATATTTTTAGCTGTTTCAAATAATCATATTGACTTCTTATCAAAATTAATTGCTCACTTAAAAGAATCTGCACCAGAAAAATTAAAAGAAGTTATCAATTATCAAAACTCACACGGTGTTTCTGCTTTATTATTATCTGTTTTAAGAAATGATATCCAAACTGCTAAATTATTAATCGATAGTGGCGCTAGTGTCAATGTTGTAAGAAAAGATGGTTCATCACCATTACATATTGCCTGTACTTTCGAAGATGCCTCAACTGATCTCGTTAAACTTTTATTAGACAATGGTGCTGATGTTACTCTTGAAAACACTTTTGGTTGGTCACCACTTCATCAAGCTCACAATAACAAGGATTTCATTGAAAAATACGAATTCCTTCGTAGTTATTTAACCCAATCTGATAAAAAAGTTTATTTAGATTCATTCGACCCAGAAAAAAAGAAAGTTATTCCAAAACAAGAATAAATCCATAAAATCTAATAATCTTTATATTTATTAAAATTGCTACATAAATAAAATATATTTTTTTGTATACAATATTTAATCAAACACATACTCTCTTCTAATTTAAAATTTTTTACAAATTTTAAATTAAAAAATAGTTTATTATAAACTTATTAATAAATATTTAAGAAAATAAAAAAATGTAATTTTTTTTTTTTTTACTTTTTTTTTAGTTTTTTAGTTTATAGTTTTGACATAAGGAATAGTATGTGCAGGTTATTATGGGATGTACTTTAGTATTGCTTTTAAATTCTTTATTGCATAGGGTTTTTGCCAACTTCTTTTCTCACAAAACACATACATTATGTATATCAAAAAACGCAAACCAAATTTATTATTATACATAAAGTATTAAAAATATATAAGGTTATTTTTATTGAAAAAACTTTATAAAAAGAATTTATCTTTATCTTTATTGATTAAAATTTTTTTTTTTTATTATTTTTTTTTTAAATTAATTTATAATCTGTTTCCATTAATGTCATAACTTGCATAGCAGTCTTGGGCCCAATGTGATGTTCTTCCACAATTGAAACAGGTATTTTTTTCATTGTAATCGCTTCTATGTACTTCTCTATGGATATTATCTTTAATAACTACTAAATTACTTGGTCTATTATCAACTTTGTTTTTATTAATATGGTGAACATGTTCGTTTGGTTCAATGGGTCTTCCAATTTTTTTTTCGGCTACAGTACGGTGGGTGTATTCCTATTATTATTTTTATCATATGAAGAAGAAATAAAATTAAAATTGAATAATGAAATATTAATTAATGAATAACTATATTACCCATCCTCCATCATTTGCTTGGTATTGACGATATCCACTTTTATTATATCTAATAATAAGATTATTATTATTTGACATTTTATGTTTAAAATGATTTATTTAATATTAAATAAAATTTTTTTTAAAAAAATATGAAATTAAAAATTAAAAATTAAAAATTAAAAATTAATTAATTAAAAAAAAAAAAAATAAAATGGGTTAAATTGAAATTAAATAACCTATTAAATCCAAATTAAAAATTTTTAATAAGAAAAAAAATAGAAATTTAAAGTAAAAGAAAATGGTTTTTATCAAAAAAATAAATAAATAAAAAAAGAACTTTCCATAATTAAGAAAATAAAAAAAATAAAAAAATAAATTAAAAAAATTCTTATTTTGTACAGTTTTATTATAAAATCTCTATTTTTATACAATATTATATTTTTAGAATTTGTAATAATATAATTGATAAAAATATTAAAAATGATGGTGATGTTGAACTAACATTATTGATCACTTCACTACTACTATTTTCATCAATTTCTTTACCATCTTTGAAATGAACAGTGGTTTTTGTTGTTGGTACATCGTTTACCTCCATTTTTCCTTTTGAATCGATACTGCATTTAACATTTGAGGAAGTACATTCTATGGATGTACCATAACAAGAAATTGAGCTATTGGATTTGGGTGTTACACAAGTTACAATTCCATTGGTATTACGAGTACACTCTATATGGTTGTTATTATCAACACACTTGCTAGCACTATAGACTGTACAATTAACCGATGTAAAGCTTCCAACTGTTAATCCATTTCCTTCATTTCTGCAAAATATATCACCAGACTCTTGGTTAGAGGAGCTACTATTACTGCTACCGGCACTACTATCATAACTACTACTTTGAACTATTACGCATCTACTATCCATTTAAGCATTTTTCATTGCATATACTTGAGTTATAATAAAGCATATTGGTTCCTGTAAAAACTAAAGCTTTATCCGTAGTATTATAAATCCTTATATCTCGTGGCCCTCTTTCACTGTACCTTGGAAATTTGTCGAATTTATAGAACTAATACTAATATCGAATTATTAAAATCTGTTCCAATAACAAAAGTTAAATCCAAGTAACTTGGTTCATCACTACACCCAAAAATTAAAAATTTTATTTTTATTTTTATTATTTTTCATTTTTTATTTTTTTTCTTTTTTTTTTTTTTATTTTTTATTTTTTTTTTTTACAAAAAAGATATTTAGGTTTAAAGATAAAAAGATTCTTATTCACTATTTTTTATTCAAAAATAAGAAAAGAATAAAATTTTTTTTTTTATTTAAATTTTTTAAATTTATGTTTGGTGGGTGTTATAATCGAAATTGAATTAAACTATAAATTAATTAATGATAGAGTAATAAGTGATGATAATAATAAACCAATTATATTAAAAGCAAGGGTAGAGGCTGATGATGATGGTTTCTCTTGCTCGAAATTCTGTTGTTGACCATTTTTATCAAATACTGCAATGTTTGAAGATGAAATTTTATTGTTAACATGGAAACTACCTTCTAAATCAATTTTACATTGGACATTGGATGTTTTGCATTCTATATGGGAACCTCTACAAGTAATTGATTTTGATAAATACCAATTTGATCCGACAGTGCACCTGATTATACCATCCTCTTGATCTGTTGAACATGTGGAGCCGCTAATATTATCAACACATTCAGTTGGGCCATAGCCAGTGCAATTAATACCTGAATAACTATCAATTGATAAACTACTTCCAATGTTTGTGCAAGTAATAGTTTCAGGGAATGATGCTGATGATGATGGTGATATTGATGAATCTGATGTTGATCCTGATTCTGATGTAGAATTTTTATTGATTGAACAATCTTCACCAGTCCAATTATAATCGCATTGGCAGTTTGGGGAAAAATTAAAATTACATACACCATTATATGAGCAATTGTTCATACACAAGAATGGATCGAAATAAACCATACCAATCCCTTCGAAAACTACTGAACCAGAGGTTTGATTAAAAATTCTTAAATCTTGATAGCCATTTCCTGGTGGAGCTTTACCAATTACATATGAGCTTGAAACATAGTTGAAGTTTATTATTGTGTTGTTGATGAAAAAGTATAGATTGGTAATGTCTCCAAAGAAGCCATGGATATAAATATCACCACCTCTGGTTGAAACTGGTGTTACAGAATATACTTTGACAGTTGACATTTCACAGTTTTCGCCATACCAACCATTGTCACAAACACATTCATTTCCTATTAAAACTCCATAAAAGCATGGTTTCATTAAATTTGGTTTATAAATATTATGACCAGTATATTCCATGTAGTTTTGTGAAATTGAAATATCATAGAAATTCGAGTAGGAAAGGAAACCTTCGATATTACATTTTATACTATAAGGTGTAATTTCAATGACATAGCACATATAACTACCAATGCTTACAGAGAGATTTTTATGGACATGAGAAAAGGAACCAGCGAGTTCTACTAAACCACCACTTTCATATGCAGGATAAACACTTGAAACATATAAATATGGACTAAATTCACAAAATTGGCCACTGTTTCCATTTAGACAATTGCAACTTGTTGAATTAGTATCTGTACAATTGCTATAAAAACAATTTGAGCAAATATCTATTGGGGCACTAATGGAGCAATTTTCTCCGGTGTATCCTGGAGAGCATATGCAGGTAGGGATATTTGTGGTTTGGTTTTGTAAACAATAACCATTTTCACATGTAACATAACATGATGTATCGCTTTTAACTAAAGAACTTGAAAAACCTAAAAGAACAAAACAAATAAATAAAATAATGTTAAATTTCATTTTTTTATTTATATATATTATAATAAACTATTTTATGATGAATGAATGAATTTTTAAAATAAAAAAAACAATATTTATACAAATTTTAAAAAAAAAAAAATATAAAACTAAAGTAACATGATTTCATTTTTTTTATTTGGAAATTATATACTTATAAGAAAAACTAAATAAATTGATTTACACAAAAATTAAAATTCGAATATTTAATATGAATTTTAATAAATCACAAAAAAAATGATTTATTAAAAAAAAAATGTTTTTATAAAATTCGTTTTTTTTTGATTTTTTTTTATAAAATTAGGATTTACTTAGAAATCTTTTTTTTAAAATTAATATGATTAAATAATATTTAAACAAGAACCTTAAAATAAATCATATTATTATTATGATTTATTTTTTGTTAATAAAATAAAAATATTGGTTTATTTTTTAAAATATTATTTTTTTTCTTCACCCAAATAATAAAATAATTTTTTTTTTAATTTTTTTTAAAATTTTTAGATTATCTGTTTTTTATAAAATTTATTTTCTTTATTTAGATATTTCCAAATATTAATTTAAATTAAAAAAAATCATCATGTTTAACTATTAAATTTTAACTATATTCATTTATCTTGCTCTTAATTACTTTAGTATAAATAACACAATCATTTATTTGATAATTAATGGATTATATCTTTTTCAAATAAAAATGTATTTTTACGATTCATTCTTTAATCAAGATTTCTTTAATTTTTATTCAGATATATAATGGAGTGGTGTGGGTGTGGGAAGATTTAAAAAAAAAAAAAAAAAAATAATGGGTTACTATGGAAATATCCAATTTATTTTAATTTTTTCAATTCACCCCACTTCCCACTTGCATAGTATAAACACACTTTCCTTCTTTATTTTTTATAATAAAATAAAATAGTTTTTAAAATAATTTTATTTCTTATAATTCTAAATTGAGATAAAAAAAAAAAAAAATAATAAATTTATTTCAAAAAAAAATTTGAAATTAAAAATAATTATTTCAAAAAAAAATTTATAAAAAGAATTTATCTTTATCTTTATTTTAAAGCAGCAGTTATTAAATTAATGAAACCTGGGTGGTTAAAGAGAAAACTATCAATTGAATGCACAACTCTATAATTGGACATAACAGATTAACTAAGATTAGAACTTGTGTTAATTGATATAGTTTTTTGAAAGCTGCCGGATAAGAACCATTAAATCATTTCTTCTAGTGAACCATTAAATCTTTTCTTTATCTAAAACCATTCGATGATACCATAGTTGCTTGGCCAGAACAATGTCTGATATACATCAAATAGTTGTTAGAATGAAAAGATTCTTTGGTGTTGATTTAATTGAAGGCATTTTACTTTGATTGGATCTTCACCTTCATGGATTTTGAACATTTGCGATAAACTCTTCTTTTTTTTTTGATTCTAAATATTTATTTTTTTAATTTTATTTTTTTATCTAATTTATCTATAATATATCTACTAAGATATATTGAAGTTGAGACTGTGGTGGCTGTTATGGAGGTTGATGTTGATACTCTGGTTGAAACTTCCTTATAAATTATTCCCAAGTTCTTTTTGATGAAAAATGTTATGCATTACCACTACATAATGAAATAACCAACACAAAATTTGAAGAACAGCTACAACCTGGTGCAACAGATTCTACTCTAATATTTGATGACAGTCTTTGCATTACGACCACAGATACTAAAAATACAACAGATATTGCACAACTTGACGGAAAAGGTTACAAATTATTTGATGAGTTGGGAATATATACCACTTGATACAACTTTATCAAAAACGAAACAAAATTCTACACTATCCGATATAATAGACTCTACTTCTTTGTCCAGAGTATATAAACAGCTTGATGAAACATATTCGGTACTTCTACCTTTGATAAATTAATAATTCACTTCCCGGTGTAAAAGATTCTTAAGCACTACTTGAAAAATTGGGTTCTACACTTGATGCAACTGATTCTAAGCTTCCAATATATTATACACTTCTCGAATCAGGCTCTGCAATTACCACTAAATGAAATAGGTTACCATACTCGATATTACTTGATCTTCACTAAATATAAAATTAATTTGTGTTAGTATTGTGTTCATATATTCCTTATTTCTTCAACGAATCCCATTTTTATATAGATTAGTTATTTAAAATAATGTGCTTATTTACTTACTTGAAGGATTTTTAAAGCTATTATTGACCTTTCATTTTTTTGAAATATTTATGTGTATTTTTTGAGAAGTGCAAAAAATAAAATGAAAAAATTTAAATTTTTTTTTAAAAAAAAAAATTTTAATAAAAAAATTTTTTAAAAAAATCTAAAAAAGCTAATGCTGGGATTATTGGCAAAATAAAACGACTGCGCTGCATTGTTATTATATTGAGTGTGATTATATATAACAGCCTTTCTAAAAAATAATTTATTTAAACAAAAAATAAAATATAAAGATTATTAATATTTGGTTTAATATTAAATAAAAATATAAATAAAGATAACTTACCTAAGTTATGATATTTACTATAAAGGAAAATACTACAGGGCAACAGCTATCAATAAATATAAATCTATTTATATTTAATTCACTATAAAACTGTTGAGGTACTGCATTTAAAATATTGCCTGGACCACCATTTGACCGATTACTTTAACTACCATTTGAACCACTTATTGACCCACCATTTGACTTATTATTTAAACCAACATTTAAAATACCATTTGAACCATTACTTGACCGATTACTTGTTCCATTTGAATTACCATGTTTACTACCATTTGAACCACATTTGAACAACCATTTGTCTTATTGCTTGAACCACTACATGAAACATTGCTTGTACCAACATTTGAATTACGCGATCTACCACCTGAACACTTATTGACCCATCATTTGACCGATTAATTTAATCAACATTTGAATTACGATATGATCTACAACTTGAACCACAAATTGACTGATTACTTGTTCCATTTGAATTACGATGTGAACTACCATTTGAACCACACTCGAACCACCATTAGACCCATTACTTGAACCACCATTTAGACCTTTTCTTGAATTTGCAATAGGCTTTTAAATACGTTTGGGCAATTGTTTTTTAGATGCTTCTTATATTTCTAATAAATGACTAATGATGATTATTATTAATATATGTTTAAAATTAATTTTTAAAAATAATATAATTTTACATACCATTTTCTGTCTATAAATTATTGATTAGTTCTACAAATACCGAAATTAAATAGATCAATGCCATAGCAACAGCGAATCTATTGTATTAAATAAATGAATTAATAAATTATTAAAAAATAATAAAAAAAATCGAAATTATAATTATTTACCTTTAAATTAAATACGTCGAATTATTTTTTATCTTGAACCATACATTATTATCTATACTCTTTGACGTAATGAACCATAGTGATTTTCTGCAAGGTGAGATAAAACAATTGCTCTATTATTTTCAATTGAACTTGGAATAATTTCAATGTAAGCGCTGCTATCAGATTCGACTGATGAAATTACGGTTATTTGTGATTTTAAAATTTCAGCAGCTGCGAGTAATGTTAAATGATCACCCCAAGTACCCCTTCTTGCCATTCGGTTGCAATATCTGTTCCAATTTGTGGTATTGGCAAATTGGGATAATTTGGCACCATTTGGAAGGGTGAAATTTTTATTTCTAATAAGCCATGTGGCAATGACTCTTCTAATTTCTGAACTATGGTTCAAGTTGCCATATAGTTGGTCAGATAATGCATGCATCTGACAATTTCCATCTTCTGGGATGTCCCTACTATGTTCTAATTCGTAGAGATCCAAACGTTCATTTAAACGTCTTTTAGCTTCATCCTCTGGTGATGGTTGTGGAATAATAACTGCCCCTGAGTTAATTTCCGTTGGGATTGGGTTTGGGATTGGGACTGGATTTGGTTGTGGTGGTTGTGGTTGCTCAAGTTGTTGTTGTTCTTTTTCATATTCATCCATCGCTCGAAATAGTTTTTTATAATCTGGGATTGATGGAGAGCGTTTTGGTTGTGGAGTATTGTGTGGTGTTTGGTTGTTGATTATGTTGTTGTTGTTGTTGTGGGTTATTGGTTGTGGAGGTGGGTATGGTTGGGGTTGTTGGTTGTTGATTGTTGGTTGTTGATTTGGTTGTGATTGTTGGTCTTGGTTGTTGATTTGGTTGTGATTGTTGGTTTTTTTGTGGTTGAGATTGTGTATTTTGTGGTGGGTTGTTTATTTTATGGAACTTTTCATAAAATTCGTCGTCATAGAAAAAGTCTTGGTCGTATTGGGTTGTTCCATCTGGGTAGTATTTTTTGGTGGTGTTGTTTATATAGTTTTTGGCAATGTTATTAATGATTTTTCTAAAAAACCAATAAAAAATGAACAAAACAAAAAAACTAATTACAATATTATACTTTTTTTTATATTTAC